TCGCTGAAGTGGCAGATTTGTAACAGAGGACCCTTTCCGCTTGGCCTGAGGCAAGCACTCCAAGGCCGACGGTCCTCTGTTGCAAAAGGAGGTACCGCGCTGTATGTTTTCTGTCGCTGAAATGGCAAATAATAAAATACACCCGCAATATGTTTTCTGTCGCTGAAATGGCAAATAATAAAATATACCCGCAAAGTTGCAGAAATACCGTTTTTGGAAGAGTTCTATGCAGATTTACGGGGGGGTACCTTCTTTTGTAACAGAGGACCCATCGGCTTGGCCTGAGGCAAGCACTCCAAGGCTGATGGGTCCTTTGTTGCAAAAACAGGTACCACGAGGCATGTTTGTCGCTGAAACATCACGGTCTGGTATATCTGCGTAGATACATCTCAAAAAAGGCTAGGCTGCTGGCAAACCTGTTTAGGGTCAGATCCCACTACCCTGGATTATTCATTTTCACCCTCGATTACGAAGATCAACCGTCAGACATGAACAACAGGGGCTAGTGGGATCTGGTCCAACCACAGGGGCTAGTGGGATCTGGCCCTTATTTGTCACGATACCTGCGCGGGCCGGTAAAGTTGCCAACTGGTAGCAACTGGTAAATTCGCAATTTCCCCTCTCGACGTGCGGGGGGAGTTGCAGGTATACTGATTTTGAAATGTACGGCGTGGTATATATGTTGCTGACCACGGGTTGCCCTCACACCTCACGATTGTTGTGATGAGTGAGATGTGAAGGTCGTGTGTGACCCGCACCGCCAGGGGAAAACAAAGATATCTTCCCGACGACTCCTTTTCGGGATATCCTCATGACTCCTCGTTTCCGTGTGCTGTACGGTAAGGCCTGATATCTCAAGGCCGTCACCCCTTCAAGAAAGAAAGAAAGAAAGAAACAAAAAAGACTTCTGCGGCAGACGGATGCCCTCGCACGGACTTTGTTTGCTTTTTGGAACTTTTTCCCTTCTAATAGTGTCCTTTCGCGAGAAAATGTTCTGATAGGTTCTTGTCCTCTTCACAAAGAGATGGATTCAATCCCTGAAGGTGGAGGCAATTGGCGGCATCCTCACACTAGCACTTTTTCGACTGATGTCTGGACGTAATTGGCGTTATGGTCAGGTACATCGAGGATAGTCTAAGTGTGAGTATGGGGCATCAGAGAGATTTTCCCCAACGCCATCTCTGCCATGAGCATCAGAACGGGAAGATTTGCGCTAGCGGTTGGGACACATGTTGTATCTTTAGCTCAGCTGTGAGAGCACCGGGCGACCCTCACCCTCCCTTTTCCTATCTTGGTTGCTGACTGTGCTTGAGCCATGCGCTCGCTAGTTTGTAAAGGAACATTCACTTGTAGGGTCAAGCTTTAAGAGCTCTCATGCAAAACTTTTTTTTTTCCCCTAGTTTTCTCTTTTGTTTTGAAAAATTCTCTTTTGTTTTGAAATTATGGAAAAATGCTCTCGTCAGTGCAACACTGATTATTATAATCTTATTCAACTTGTGTTTGGCTTTGTGGTGTTGTATGCAGGTTTCTGCTGTCGATGTCAGTGATTGTCTGGCCGTTTGTGATAGCAATGCTGGTATTTGATATCATCTCTGCAGCGCAGAAGTCGAGTTTCTACCACTCCAACACGTATATTTTGGTGCCCATAACTACTATATATGTGGTGAGTATTTCGGTTACACATTTGGACGGGTCACATCAGAAAACAAACACCCGTTCCAGGATAATAACCTGACCGCCAACCAATGGTTATATCCACAATACAGCTAACACCTATCAGGAAATCAGTTATATAGCCTCTGTTGGTCAATGGCAGACTGAGTTGCAAAGGGTTGAAGCGAAGGATCTGGCAGTGATCCATATGAATGTTCAAAGGCCTTCGCTTTTTCTTTTCCAAAGACATGTTGATGTGTGCAGCCAGACGCCCAAAATAAGTTCCAAGGTGAACCGAAAGAAGTGCAAGTAGGAGAAACAGCAAGTGCTGTATCTCCCGGATACAAAGTGCGGTCATTATAGCTGTATTTACACTGAAAGATACCCCAAATACAGCTATAGTGACCGTACGTTGTATTCGGGGTAAGAAGGTAGGCCATGTGATGGATGGAGATGGCTTAGATGGGGCCTGAGGATGAACGAACACAGCTGCAATAGGGGACTACCCGGTGGAAAAACCCTGATGTCATTCGTTCCTAGCCTAACTAACAATTATAGGAAATTTGTGAGTAACTTGAGCGCCACTCCAGCACCCTTACGTAGATTTTTAAATCACCAGTACTTCCGAGGCAAATTTCTCCAGGCTAGAAACACCGTGCGCGCCAAAAAAAGGAATTGCCGCGGGCCTTCCTTTGGCCAGTGCCGCCAACCATTTTGCTCCAAAGGCTGAGGCCCAAAAGTTGCGGCAGCATGTCAGCTGCGACTCTGAAAAACTAGCTCGGGAACGTACTGGGTGTGTAAACCACCATTACATCTGAGGCTAAATGTACGAGCCTCAATTTGAATTTGGCAGAGCCTGGAAGCCATCAGTACCACAGCATGGAAAATTGAGGGTGCTACAGGTACCAGCCTTCTCAAAATCAGTCCGCTGGAGGGCCTGGGACGTCTGGGAAACGGAATCGGCCTGGTATGTGTGGGGACGCCCTGAGGCGGCCTGGGACAGTGTCGGGCCTACTATTACTGCTTTTCCGAACTGAGGGCCTGCCATTACTGTTGGGTCCGCTTTTTTTTTTTCGCATTTTGAAGCTGGAATACCGCTTCGTCGTGTTTTTTTTTGCCGTTTCAAACTCAAAACTTGCCGCGTCCGCACTTTGTTTCAAAAAAAAAAGAAACACTCACTTGGACTTTTGCTCATGCTGGAGGTGATTGCGGGCGTATACATTTAGTCTGAGTACGCCAGCAGAGGTATTTGCTGTAGTGTTTTTTTCCTTTTTCATTTTCTTCTTTTTTGTAATTCCCGTGATGATGGCGTGTTAGCTCAGTCGGTACACCCATGAATTGAAATACAAACCCAAGTTCAACTCCAGATGCAATCAGACCAACTGCCTGTGCCTGTGCGGTCCTTTCTCAGGGCATAGTCACAGTAGAACTCTTTCCACGTCTCTGTGGACGTAATTGCTGTCAGGTGCATCCAGGCCGGGTGGTAAAGGACCCATGTTCTTCAACTCCAGATGCAATCAGATAACTGCCTGTGAGTCCTTTCTCAGGGCATAGTCACAGTAGGACTTAATCAACTTCTCTGTGGGCGTAATTGCTCTCGCCGTTATGTGCATCGAGGAAAGTCCCAGTGTGAGTATGTCCTCAAAGTTCGAACTGCACCCGTACCTATCCTGAAAACGGGGCCAGATGCAAAGAGACAAACAACAGAAAGAAAAGTACAAGAAAAGAGCTGGCCCCCGTTCAAACAGGCCCATGCCTCATTTTTGTGGAGACCTTGTGTCACTAGAAACAAGGCAGGCACCTGTTTCGACGGGTGCCAGGGTTTTTTTCCTTTTACTTTTGATGCCCGCCATCTGTTGGGGAATGTTTCGATTCCATTTTTTGTTTTGCAAGCTTTGTTATTTTGTTTCTTGTCTCATCGGCTTATGTGTTTCCAACTTTCCACATGGTCAGGTGAACCAGCAGGCTCACTTATATTCCATTTGCCCCTTTCCCTTACTAGGCCCATTCCATTGTGCTCCTGAGCCTTGCCCGAGCCCCAATATCTTCAGAGTGACTCAATTGTGATTTCATAGCTGGATGGGGCCATTTACTGGTGGTTTAAGGAAATAAGTTCTGTTTGTGCGATAGAGATTCCACCTCCATTAGGAGAGCTGAGGAATTTCCAGAACTCTTTCCCCCTTCAGATAACTTAAAGGCATTGGTAGAACTGCAATGGTTTGGTAGCGGGGAAGGTGTGGTTGCTTAATAGCTTTAATTCTCAAGGATAGGGGTCAGAATCACTAAGAAATGAAAGGCGGATCTGGCAGCCCATATAGGACTGAAGAGGTGGTGTCTGCTCCGGGACCCCTTGACCTGATTGTAATACCTTATTATGCTCTTGTACCTTGTAAGGGACGCTGGACCCGTTTTCCAGCAGGTGTCGCTTCCCTCCAATAGATGTAGCCACATTTTGTCAAAAAAAAAAAAAAAAAAGATTGCACCTCCATATTTATTTTTTTTATTAGGTAAGGAAAGAATGATGTCAGGGTTTGGCGGCGTTGCAGTTTTCTTTGCGTCGTCCAGTCTTACCTCATCTCCATCAATCACATGACCTAGATACAACACTCGCTGTTTGTCCCACTCACATTTCTTCGAGCTCCCTCGTAGGGCCTCGTTGTTAATTAATAAACATAATGTACGGGAGAAACTGTACGCACTGCATGAAGCGCTAGATACATGGAGGCACTATCTCCCAGGCTGATATTTTAAGGTCTACTTGGATCATGACACACTGCGATGGGTCACGGTCATGCCCTGGGTGGTGTGGATGGTTTTGGGCTGTGGGAGGTGGCCGCACCCCCCCATGAGATACAAAAATGAAAAGGCATTTTTTGTTGGGAAAGGGGGGGGGGAGTGGGGGGTGGGTTGTGGGGTGTTCACAGGGGATTGAAAAGAAAAGAAAACATTGATTGATCGATTGATTGCTAAATGATTGATTGATTGATTGATTGATTGATTGATTGAACGATTGATCGAAGAAGAAAAAAAATGGCGGAGCACATCAGTGTGCACCCGTTCTCTCTCTCTCTCTCTCTCTCTCTCTCTCTCGTGTGCACAAGCACGCACAAGAGAGAGAGAGAGAGAGAGAGAGAGAGAGAGAGAGAGAGAGAGAGAGAGAGAGAGAGAGAGAGAGCTGCATCGTTGTCGTCGTCGTTGTCATTGGCGGCGGCGTGGTGTGTGTGTGTGTGTGTGTGTGTGTGTGTGTGTGTGTGTGTGTGTG